ATCAAGACCCGTTCTCTCTGATTTTTACTGACATTTAGCTGACTATGTAGCTGCGCAGCCTGGCCTTTTGAATGTTAGGAATGGGGCTGGTAGGCAGAGAAGACAAAAATAGAGTGACTGAAGATCATTGAAGAATGGATGTTGCAGCTGTGGGTGGAGCCAAACGTGATGAAAGAAGATCCGTGTCTTCTGAATTGGGTGCCTGCTAAAATATGAGAGTTGGGAGAAGAGGACAGTGGTTTCCCCCCCCCACCTACTATAAGGTGCTGGGGATTATTGTCAGGCACAAAGAACCAGAATGACACCTTGAGCTGATCAGAGTTGCTTCTTTATTGCTGCCTGTCTATTTACAAGAATCTGCCACCTTGCTGCCACCTGTCTGTTGAGTCTAAAAGGTTGACCGCTGTATTGCAATACCTGTTCACACAAGATATATGGCTTTTTGTGAGACTCATACTGGGAAGGAGATTCCATGACTCAGCTGGTTCTCTCTTCCAGTCCCTGAGAAATCACTGAATGGGACTGAATGGAGCACATGAGGTGTTTCTCCTTCCTGACCCTTTTAATACTAATAAAGAATATTTATAAGTAGGGTTGAAATTAGAGGTCCTTGGTACTCTCTGAGCTTGGCGGTTTTTGTGCAGATTTTTATTACTCAGACTAGGTAATATCAACACTAGTGAGCAGTGGGGTTTACTGTCAGTTTATATTCTAGTTCCTTGCCCCTGTCAGTGTTGGTGGGAGTGATCTTAGAGGTAGTTTGGTTGGGCTGTTTACTGTTGGCTTCTTTGGCAATTTCTTGACTGGGGTATTACTGTCCGAAATGGTATAGGGTTTCCTGCCTGAGCAGGGGGTTGAACTAGATGACCTCCAAGGTCCCTTCCAACTTTATTATTACTATTACTATTACTATTACTATTACTATTACTATTACTATTACTATTACTATTACTATTACTATTACTATTACTATTACTATTACTATTATTACAGACTGATTACATTCTCTTGAGAACAGCCAGGTAAAGAATTCAGGAATTCTCAGGCAAAGAAGGGGTTGCTCCAGTCTCCATCCATCCCTTCCTTTCCTGCAAGGACTCCAAGCTCACCAGTCTTCACTCCTTCCCTCACTCTAGCTCAGTGTTTCTCAACCTTGACAATTTTAAGGCATGTGGACTTCAACTCCCAGAATTCCACAGCCAGCATTGCTGGCTGTAGAATTCTGGGAGTTGAAGTCCACATGCCTTAAAATTGTCAAGGTTGAGAAACACTGCGGTCTAGCTGGAGATTACATCATATTTATGGACCATGTATCTCATTGTTTAGTCATTAACTTTTGTCTGACTATTTGCAGCCCATGGTCCATGGCACACTGTCCTCCAATCTTCCCCAGTAACACATTAGACACCTTTATTGATCTTGGACACCTTCCAACCTCAGGGCTCATCTTCTGGCATCATATCTTTCAGTACTGTCCATGGGGTTTTCTTGGCAAGGATACTGGAATGGGTTGCCATGTCCTTCTCCAATGAACCATGTTTTGTCAGACTATGACCTGTCTGTCTTGGGTGGCCCTGCACGGCTTAGCTCATAGTTTCTTTGAGCTGCACAAGCCTCTTCGCCACAACAAGGCAACGATCCATGAAGGAGATATACCTCTAGTCTCTTAAAATAAGAAACAATGGTTGGAAACTGATCAAGGAGAGAAGCAACCTGGATTTAAGGAGAAGCTTCCTGACAGTGAGGACAATCAACCAGTGGAACAGCTTACCCCCAGATATCGTGGGCCCCCCATCACTGGAGATCTTTAAGAGGAGGCTAGACAGTCACTTATCTGAGATGGTGTAGGTTCTCCTGCTTAAGTGGGGGGCTGGACTAGAAGACCTCCAAGGTCCCTTCTATTCTATTCTATTCTATTCTATTCTATTCTATTCTATTCTGTTCTGTTCTGTTCTGTTCTGTTCTGTTCTGTTCTGTTCTATTCTATTCATATTTGGTGCCCATGCAGATGGGTAAATAAAGCTATCCCGTATAAATTGTTCTTGCATTCTGTTTCCCATTAACTCCACAATTGCCTCTCTTATCCTAACCTTCCTCCCTCCGTTCTCAAAGCCGAGGGCCGTGGCCTTGCCAGCCAATGGTACAATTTTCCATCAAACCCATCCCGTTTGCTCCAGCTGGGGATAATTCACGGTGATCTTGTTTTCATAAATAGGGATCTGTGGCATTGCTCATGTTGATTGTGGTGACTTAGCATCTGTATTTATATTTGAATATGCGCCCTCTAAATCAGTCCAGCAAAAGCGGTGCCTTTATGAAAAATCTGCAGTTCTTGCGAAACATGGAGCGTTTGCTGCCAAGCTACAAGTTCTTCTGCGGCCAAGTACATTTCCAAGTTCAAATCCTGGCTGGGAGAAAAAAAAAAATCTGAATTTAGGGAGTAAAAACTAGTGGCTGGGAAAGTGTTTAACATTTTCTCCTGTCTTCTCCGCTCGCGCTCCTGACCTTTGCTTTAATACTGTTTGGGTGTGATCTTTATTTTTATTTTTTTTAAAAAACAACAACACCATGGAACTGTTGCTGTCTCATAGCTGTGATTTAAGCAGGAGAGGCTAGAGAAGTTATGAATTTAAAAGGCCGGTGCAGTGAAAGAGACCATTTAGAGAAGGATGGCATTGGAGTATTTGATTTTGCAAACCAGTGCTAACCATAACAACAGCCTGCAAAGGAGAGCAAAGCAGAAGGGAACAGAGTCCATGGGAGGGTATAGACAGAGGAGAGTGGTTTTTATTATCGCCTGTTCACCGCCCTGAGTCCCGTAAGGGAGATAGGGCGGTATATAAATTCAATAAATAATAATAATAATAATAACTTAAGTTATCCCCGTTGAAAAGAAAAGAATTCTACGGCCCTCTGTTCTCTTCTGAAGTTCTGCAGCCTTTCAAAAGCCACTGAATTTTCAAGTTTGAAGGACTTCTGTTTATTTATTACTGATCTGAGATACAGCCTCTTGTCTGAGGATAATAATATTTCTAGGATTAACCGGGTAAATAAAATCCTCGAACATCTTTCTGTTCTTCCTTTTCCTTCCACCAGACATGCAGATCGCGAAGAGTCGTCCTTATTGCCCTTTCTTGCTGCAGGCTTCACAAGGGTATGTCAATTTATTTATAGTCATCTTTTCCTATATATATTGTACACACACACACGTATACTGTATTGACTGGACGCCTGAATTACATGTGCACACTGGGAATCTCAAATTGCTTTAGCCAAAGCCTGGGGGAAAAATATTTCTCCACTTTTTGAACGTAAGCTCAAAGATTACTGACAGCATGTTTAGGTTACAATAGGAACAGCCCTAACCATTTGGGGGCAGATTGCTTAGTTTTATATTTGTCTACTCTAGGAGAAATCTAACGGGGGGGGGGGAAAGGGGGGAGGATAACCATCCTAATTGGTTGATGACATGTCATCAAGTTACTGCCAGCTGTGATTGACCATGCAGATAGATTTTCATAGATCATAGATCACACGAAAGCTATTGACGATAGATGAGAGGCTGAAAGAGTAAGGGGGAAGGGAATGGGAGACAGATGTAGGCTGAGCCCGAGGGAGGGGTCAAATACATCATCAGTCATGAGTCCCTTCGCACCCACAAGTGATCTAAATCCAGCCCACCTTGAATTCCTTCTACTCTTATCTCCCGCTAACATTAGTAGTTCAGATTCTCGTAGGGAGTTTAAGCTGGCAATAAATCTTTATATCCATTTGAACTGTCTGGATCTCCTGATTTTCCCCCGGCATTTGACAACAGGGTGCACAAATCATGTGTTTAGGAAATATATGTTAATATGTAAGCATGGGATTGGTCAATCAGAATGAATGATCTAGATTAGCTACTCACGTCAAACCCATTGCCATCTAATCGCAACGGCGCTGGCACAGAATCATATGACTTTTATGGTGAGGTCACACTGGCCTGAATCTTTGGCTGAAAAATCAGGATTTCGGTAGCCAGTCAAGGCACCTGCTAGTAAGAAAGGATGAACTCTTAGCACCACCAAGTATAACCCAAGGGATTATTTAGAAGGGGTTTGTGATGGTCTAATTTTCTGCATCCAAACAGATGAAATGGTGATTTTTGAAGAGGCCCTGGTTAAATTTCTTCATTACCTTTGAAGGCAGGTCCTCAGATCTCACGAAAAGGCATGTATCATAGAAAGTTTGGCATAAATGGTGTCAGTATAAAAGGTGTAAGGGTATGATGAGATTGTTGGCTCTGCCATTTTGTCGATCGGAGTCAACTATTGTTGGATTGACTTCACGCGTGGCTTTTTCTGATCCCATCATAAGCAGGTCAGGGGCAGAGACTTATCGGTAAGGCTGTTCACTGAAATGTTTGTCTCCTTCAAGAAGAGAGAAATTTATTAGCCAGCCAGCCAGCCCCAACGGTGCATTTCCAAAAGGCAACTGGATTTTTCTTTGAGAAATTTCACTTCTCATCCCAAAAGCTTCTTCTGTTCTTCAGAAGCTTCTTGGATGAGAAGGACAATGTTTCCAAAGAAAGAAATCCAAGAAAGATGCTTTTGAAAAAGCACCTTTGGGATAATTGTGAACCTGGAGGATTGAGAACCTCCATCGATACCCCTGGGGAGGGTCATTGTAACTTTGAATGATGGTTAAGGATCAGTCCTATGTCAAGGATTCCTAGTACTGATCTATTTTAGGAGGATCAAATGGGTTTGTTTACTTAAGAAGCCCAAAATAATAATAAAAATCCCTACCTCTGCTTATTAAAAGGATGTCTTATCTTCTGGAACATTCCATACAGCAACGAGGAAGAGTTGCTCATAACTCATAAATGTTTCTTTAATAATAAGAAAAACTCCTTTTTTTTGTCAAGTCAAGGTTTTATTAATATATGAGTGGAATACAGCGGCTCTTTTGATCTTGACATCTATTTTTCTTCACAACCAGAGATACGTTGAAAACTCGAACATCATGGCTTGTTACAATGAACTCATACAGTTGGAATTTGGAGAAGTACAGGCACAATTTAAACTAAGGTAATGCTGCCTATCTAATCTTTCATACTCTTGGCGCAGGAAAAGTCTGTCCTCACCCACACAGGAATTGGTTGGGATTTGATCCCGGCTAAAGTCTACAGTAAGGGTGCAATGGCTCAGCGGTTAAAGATGCTGAGCTTGGAGCCTGGGTTTGAGACCCGAGCACTGTGCGATGGGGTGAGCTCCCGTTCCTTGCCAACCTAGCAGTTTGAAAACATGCAAATGTGAGTAGATAAATAGGTACCACTTTGGTGGGAAGGTAACAGCGTTCCATGAGCCTCTGGATATAGTCATGTTGGCCACATGACCACAGAAAATATCTTCGGACAACTCTGGGTCTTTTGGCCAAAAAACAGAGAGGAACACTGAGCCCTGGAGTCAGACACAACTGGACAGGGAAATATTTACCTTTTTAAAGTCTACAGTGGTGTATTGAGGGACTGGCCTGGGATGGCCAGAGAAAGCAGACCATTTCTTCTCCATGATCTGTCCCTGATTATGGGTTGGGGTGGAGAAAATCAGATCATTATATAGGTATAATAGCAATAGCACTTAGACTTATATACCGCTTCGTAGTGCTTTACAGCCCTCTCCAAGCAGTTTGCAGAGTCAGCCTGTTGCCCCCAACAATCTGGGTCCTCATTTTACCGATCTTGGAAGGATGGGAGGCTGAGTCAACCTTGAGCGGGTCAGGATCAAACTCCTGGCAGTGGGCAGAGTCAGTCTGCAATGCTGCATTCTAGCCACTCCCCACCACAGCTCTTAATAGCAATAGCAGTTAGACTTATATACGGCTTCACAGTGCTTTTACCGCCCTCTCTGAGCTGTTTACAGAGTCAATATATTTGCCCCCAACAATCTGGGTCCTCATTTTACCGACCTTGGAAGGATGGAAGGCTGAATCAGCCTTGAACCGGTGAGAATTAAACAGTCAAACTGCAGGCAGCCAGCAGTCAGCAGAAGTAGCCTGCAGTACTGCATTCTAACCACTGCACCACCACATGTATAATGCTATATATACAGAGTATATAGCAATCTGATTTATGGAGATTTATGTGTGGTGTATAATCTGTAATTATTGTATAAGCCAGAGCTACATAACCTAATGGGTTTCAGGGCACGCCTATGACATTAACGTGTGAGTTGGGCGGCCATATAAATTTCTTTAATAAATATATTCCAAGCTAGGCTCTCACCAACAGGTGGCATACAAATTACTGAAATAAATAAAGGAAGGAAGTTTCCACATCCTCCTCAAGGCTTCCAAACATCCAACGAATTCAAACATTCTTCAGGAGCAGAAGGAAACCTGGAAGGCAAAAAGTCTGGGAGGAAGGATTGTGCCCATTGGATATGGAGTTGCATTAACCGTTTAGTGAGGGATTAAAAAGGGGTTGGAAGTAATGGAATGACTGGAAGGTTCCACTTGGAAAGACCGAATCCTACGGTAGAATTGAAAACAGCTGTTTAGCTTTCAAATTTGATCCCCCTGCCGAGCTCAGGAAACCAAATTAAAACATCTCCCATGGTTGACTGTCCAGCCTTCTTCAGCCTCCAAGATTTCATGGCACCTTCCCATTGTTTTATTCTCTTTTTGTTTATGACTTCTTCAGTTCTAGTTCATTCTTTTCTTTCTGGATCTTGAAAAGTTGTGTGATTTAATTCTAATTGCCTCTGCTTCTTTTTCCACTCGTTTGCATTTCAGGGCTTGTAATTCGATATTTACGGCATTAGATAAAAGTCAAGAAGCCACCGAGATTACAAGCGAAGACCACGTAATACAGGTTTGTTTATGTTTATTTAGATTTGTATACCGCCCTATCTCCCTTACGGGACTCAGGGCGGTGAACAGGCGATAATAAAAATCACAATAAATATCTATTCTAAAATCAAATTAAATAAATAAAGGCCTGCTCTAAAATACCCCATATAAAAACCTATACTAAAACCTAATTAAGACTACGCCAGGCCGGCCGCACAAAATAGATGAGTTTTCAGGGCTCGGCGAAAAAGGCGTAGGTCCGCAGCTGTATGTAGGTCGGGGGGTAGGTCATTCCAGAGGGCAGGAGCTGCCACAGAGAAGGCTCTCCCCCTGGGGGTCGCCAGCCGGCATTGACTGGCCGACGGCACCCTAAGGAGGCCCTCTCTGTGGGAGCGGACTGGTCGAAGGGAGGTATGTGGCAGGAGGCGGTCTTGCAAAAGTATGCTCTGTTTTTTTTTTTTTTTATGAGTGTCAGATATTGTCCTGTGGTTTTGTATGATTTTATTCTTTTGGCCGCTCCACTTGCACAGACGGGCATGCACAGACCTAAAACATTTAAACCTGTGGGCCTTGAATTACCTTAGAACCTGTCCTTAAGGCATATTTTTCTGACCTTTCCATGGAGAGGAAAAATCCATTTTAAGGACAAAACCTTTTGTTTTAGATAAGCATTTATTTTTTTGTAGACTGTATCTTCACAAAGCTCCAGGAGTTTATGACAGTTTGTATTTAGCCCAAAGTCATTAAAAACCTTAGTGATATTTATCTGGCTTGTCTGGAAAGCCAGGTGCACGCATTTCAAGGGGAGAAGGAAGTTTAGCAGGTCCGAAAAATAAGATCCTTGTGTCTTTTATGCATCTCTTTTGGGGTGAAAGAAATGGGACATTTTTAGCAGAATCAGAGTTCAATTCAGTTCGAAGCATCCCCCAAACAAATGTTGGCTAATGCTTCCAACAACGGACATGGTTGCAAAATGCTTTCGTTTTACTTTGTTGATGAGACTAAACTGTATCTCCCAGTGTGCATTCCTGGCTGTGATGTCTGAGATAACTAGTGATTATAATTCTGCCACATCCAGGGGGCCACTGAGATTGTGTGGAATTGGAAGGTAGCAAGACCAGTTGGTTCACAATTGAAACCAGTTTTGGCCAGTTTGGTCTAGAAGACCTGAAGTCATGCGGCACAGTTTTTAGAAGAGAAAAGCTTGATTTTTTAAGACTGCTAGAAAGAGAAGGCAGGCTAAGTTTCGATCCTCAATGTCTTTATGTAACCACTGGTGGAGTCCACTACCCCATAACCCATCTTGAATTAATTCTTCAGTTCTCCCATCAGCACCTTATTGCATTCTTTCTCAACCTTGGTGGTTTTAAGATAGATGGACTTCAGTTCCCAGAATTCCCCAGCTAGCATGCAGGCTGAGGAATTCTGGCAATTGAAGTCCACCCATTCTGGCATTTATGATGTTCTGTGGATAATCTGACCCATGGACTCTGCTGAAAAAAAATCATATACTGGGGAACAAGCTCTACTGGACTCTGGTTTGATTATCCAGTTGATCAACTCATTCATTTTCAGGGATTCTACAATATCTTGAACCGTAACCCAACCAAACAGGCTGGATTCATGCAACATTTGATTCAAACAAACAAGTTACACACACACACACACACACAGAGAGAGTTGCTAGAGTTTATAGCCTGTGTAAATGAAGCCAATAGATTTTTAAAGAAATGGTTAAGTGTGCTACGCAGTCCCACTGAAGGGGTGAGAGGGGGGTGGGGATTACATTTTCACTAAATGCCTCCTTTAATTATTTATTTAAGCACTACAATTCCATCACTATCTTTTAGCCTTTAGCCTTTTAGCTAAAAGGGTTCCCTGTAATATAACAGCCTCTGCCCTTAGATCCGTGTCAGGATCTGTTTTAGTGAAAACACTTTCAGACAGTTTAGAAAATGTTGCATCAAGGCTGAATCCTGGATCAGTGCTCAGGCTGAATTAAATTAAATTCTTAAATTCTCACTGACATTTGTTTCTTCTTTCTTACTGTTCCACAGTATGTAAATCCTGCCTTTGAAGCGGTAATGGGCTATCAGAAAGGCGAATTAG